ATTTAGTGGCTATACGGATTGTTTTTTACCTGAAATTAGACCGTTTCGCCCTTTGTTAATATTAATACTTTAATTTGTACAGAAAAAAGATTTATCAAACAATCCGTGTAGCTAATAAATAGATTTATAGTTTAACTAACTTCATATTTTGTCGATAAAACAGGATCCTAAACGTCCTTGAAAAATTTGTGATTTCCGTCCTGTTATATCGACAAAATGTGAGGTTAGATAAACTAAAATCTATTTAGTGGCTATACGGATTGTTTTTTACCTGAAATTAGACCGTTTCGCCCTTTGTTAATATTAATACTTTAATTTGTACAGAAAAAAGATTTATCAAACAATCCGTATAGCTAATAAATAGATTTATAGTTTAACTAACTTCATATTTTGTCGATAAAACAGGAAGGAAACTTAGGTTAGGTTAGGATCCCTTTAAATATAAAATTATTATTAAATTATTTAAAAAATTATCAAAAATTATATAAGCTATAATAAAAGAATTACAAAAATATTATACAATTATTATAAAAATTATGAAAAAATATAAAAATTATAATAATTAATTTATTATAACTTAAATATAAAAGCATTGATAGTAATATGATACCTTAATGATTTTCAGAATGCAACAACCCTTAGATTTATAACTTGATAAAGTTTTCTCGTTAATCTCGCACGTACATATTGAACTTTGTACTTTTCAACGTGCAACATGTATTGTCCCTTCAAGCAATACCTCATACATCTCCACGAGTATTAATAAACGACTTGGCGGCGATGAATAGCAGATGCTCGCCTCTCACGACGATTAATTCTGAAGAACCAAAGCGGCCCGTCGAATCTCTCCGCATATTTCTCGAAAAGGGTACACACCCCCGAGAAAGAGAAGAGAGAGAGAGAGAGAGAGAGAGAGAGAGAGAGAGAGAGAGAGAGAGAGAGAGAGAGAGAGAGAGAGAGAGAGAGAGAGAGACAATGTACACATGCGAGGCACGTAATCCGCATTTCGCCGTTGCGTCGGCCAAGATAAATCAGGCGTCTTACGTAGGTAAGCAGAACAAATTTCATTCAATCGGAATCTTCTATGCGTGTTGTGTGTTTGTTAGCCCACCTCCCTGCATTTATCAATAGAATGCATTTGCATGCTTGGCTCTTCGCGCCCGGGTCGGGATTATTTTTCCGATACGTTGCAAACACACACACACACACAAGGCGGAGCTGGTATTTTCGAAGGAAATACGAGAGATTGGACGCGTGTCCTCGGCGGAGACACATTCGATCCGGGGAACAATATCGCTTCCGCTTACTAAGAAACCGCGGAAATTTCCCGTGGCATTCCTCGCGATTAATGCTTATTCGGAATTCTCGTGAAGGGAAAATGAGAGAGAGAGGAGAGATTTTTTTTTGGCCGAAAAAAATTAAATTCGTTATCTCATATTCGTGTTTTATATGATGTAATTCTAAAGAAATTCGAAAAATTTTAACGGATGATTCTATGTCGAAAATTAAGGACGGTTTTTCATATACTTCTATAACATATATGAATTTGTAACGCAAAATCTATGTCACGTAGCAATTATTATGCTGTGCAGGATAATGTATTTTTTTTCTTGCAAATTATTGACTTTACGATAAAATAAATAAAAGTTTCTAAAGGAATCAAGTTTTCTAAGTAAAAAGTTCTGGTAAAAAATTAAAGGCTTATACTAGTTTTATCTTCTTAAAACGATACTAAAGGATTAAATATTAATGAATAAAATTTCCCAAGTGACAAATGTCGACTAAATTTTATCTTCTCAACTTGTTCCACACATTTGAGGAAAAAATTAAAAATCTAATTTTTATTTCTTCCCTTGGAAGAGTGTAACTTTTCAACAATGTTGTGCTTAGATGATTTTAAAATTAGCTAGATAAAAATAAAAATATGTAAATTCTTGTTTGAAATGTATCTAGATAAAAGATGAAATTATATGACAATTCATCTAGATAATTTTCTAGATAATAATTTTTAAGATTGCTTATGTAAGCACAGTTATAAAGAAAATGTAAATTATAAAAGGGATATAAAAATATATGAATTCATACTTTTATTTATAAATTTTTATCACTTACTGCTAAAGTTCTACTATTTAAGTATTTTTATGTGCTATGATTCTAAACCAAAATTATCTGAAAATTATTCTAGATACCTTATAAGATAATGCTTTTGTCCTATCAAGGTGACTTACGAAAGTGTAACTCACCGATTTTAATGAAACTTTGCATACTTGTAGAACATCGAAAAAAAATCGATACGTATTTTTTATTTCGGCAAAAGTGCGGGTTTAAGGGTTGAAACCACTCTTTGAACCCTTTGAACGTTAGGGGTGGTCTTCAAGCATAAACAATCATTTAATTTAGAAGAAAAAATACTTGTAGAGAAATTTTAGTTACAGCTAATTCCGAATCTGTCAAAATTACAAAATTTAAACTGGCGGATGCAATATGGCGATTACATTTCATGACAAAAGGGTGGTTTTTAAAATAGAAATCAGAAAATATTACATAAATAAATTAATAGAAAAAATGCTTTGAAAGCTTCTCATGTGTACAATTTTTTCTAAATAACAACGAATGAAAGTTATTAGTGAGTAATCGAATATATTCAATCATTTTTTTTTTATATGCATTTATATGAAAGTAAATTAAATTGGTCGTTTTCATAATTGAAGTTTGAAAATTTGGCAACATATATAGTTATGAGTGCAAATAGTGAGCAGTGAAGAGATACTTTAATCAAGCATCCCGTTAAAATAAGTACAGAAAGGGGTTTAAAATCGATCTGCAACCTTCTCGCACACAGTAAACCTTGAAAACTATAATTTCTATTGGCTAACTACAGAGCATTTCAAACCAGAAGAATTTTTGTAATTTTAATCACTATATTGGATCCGCCATTTTAAATTTTAAATTTTTGACGTCAGATTTGGAATTAATTGCACTAAATGCTTGGAGACCACCCCTTCAAAGGATGGTTTCTACCCTTAAACCCGCACCTTTGCCGAAATAAAAAAATACGTGTCGATTATTTTTCAATGTTCTACAAGTATGCAAAAGTTTCATTAAAATCGGTGAGTTACACTTCCGTAAGTCTCCTTGTAAACTGTAGATATAGATAATACATATTTTTATTATCGATATAAAAATAAGATGACGTCAAATTTTCATCTAGATAATTTTATGATTCTAAACTAAAATTATCTGAAAATTATTCTAGATAATTTAATAAAGATAATACTTTTTCTTCATCTACAATGCACATAACAGATAATACATATTTTTATTATCTATATAAAGATAAGATGACGCCAAAGTTTCATCTAGATGATCATCTAGATAATTTTATTCAGAAACACTGCTCCTCAGGGAGTGATGTAGAAGCACATGTTTATGCAAAAGATCTACGTTAATTCCCAGCAAAGAATAATCATCTCCTAAAATTTGTCGTCCTTACTTAGACTCATCCTGTATACCGTCTTCCCGACGTTTATCATCTAAATAAACCCGCGAGTCTCGTGCGTCCAAACACACAATTATGTTTGGATGCGCGAAAGATTGTATATGTATATGCTAAGCCACGCGCGCTTAAGGGTTGAACAACGTTACGTGCCTCGAGCAACCGCCGAAGCCGAGGATATATCGCGTTTCGGAGTTTATTCCAGAAGTGTGTCTGAAACTTCTCACTGTGTGTACTTCGGCACTAACCGCGAGAGCTCGCAAAGGCATAATGAGCGCGTAAATCGTCGGTAACTTGTAATCCGCTTTGAAGTAGACGCTCGCGCGCGCAAGAGGAGATCGCGACATGCGGGATCGTAACGTAAATTTCGTCGACCGTTTATGCAAATTATCGGCGGGCCACAGGGTTAATACATTTTCGCGTGTGCAACGTTTCGCGATATCCGCGATATAACGAGTCGATAGTCCCGGGCTACATATATATGTATATATGTATATATATATGTATATATATATATATATATATATATATATATATGTATATATATATGTTCGCGGACACGGGGTATATTTTCCAGCGAATTTACAGCATTTGCATACTTTGGGAATATTTAAACGCGGAAACCCCCGCGGCGGGTTACCGTTGGAAAAACAGGAATTTCACTGTTGAGCGAAAACGCCCGCCATGTTTCCGCGCGATGTAGAAGATCGGAACGATGAGGTTCCGTTTAACTCTCGTCCCTTCCTCTTTATATTCTCACGCTCTTCGAATTCCGAATATATAGGAACGTCGAAATCTTTTCTCGTTAATTTTAATTCGCCAAACGTTTTGGTTATTCCGCAAATATGACCTACGTTTTTTCAATTAAATTTGGAAAAGGAAAACTATATATGTGCATAAGTTAACGATTTCGTTAACTTATGCACATGTACAGTTAACGAATATTTGCTCTATTATTTGGGTTATAAACTGTCTTCTTTATAAACTATTTATATGCATATTTATACTTTTATATTATAAAATGTTTATATTTATTATTTATATTTAATTTTAATCAGTATTATTTTCATAATAATGTCGATAAAAAATTATGTGTAGGCATAATATTTATACAAAATAAATATTTTTTTATTTATTTTGTTTTATTAGTATCTTTTATATTAGTGATTGCCATCACATCTTTTAATTTGAATGAATATTTGAATATACATAATTAACTTTCTAAATAAAATTTCAGTTTTCTTCAACCGTTAGTTGAAAATCACACATTAGCTTCTATAATATTACATTCAATTATTTCAATAAACTTTTAAAAGGGTAAATAAATTTGTAATTAAGAATCCTATAAAGTAGCGTGTTATTTGTCATTGCATGTATGTGTGCCCAACAAATGGATTTCTCATTTTACATATATATATATAGAGAAAGAGTACAGTTACGAAAGATATTTCTTATAATAATAGGATTAATATAAAGGATTTTATCGCTTTTTTATTCAACTCACCGTTCAAAGACAAAGGATTCCACTCGACGAAATCAAGAGACTTCACGCACTGAAAACTCGACACTTTTTTTCCAATAATCACTAAACGCACACACAAATGCATTAATTTCACTCTGTTCCAATGATTGAGAGACGATAGCCGAAAGTGTTGAGTTATAAATTAACACGCAAACTTTTTTTTGATTAACCTCCAAACTATACACTGCACAAATTTACGACGCGATGAATCTTCCTTATCCTAAAACATATTTTACCTTCCTCACAAGTTAATTTATTCCTCATTCACTATCAAGCATTTTAGAACGATCCGATATCGCCGATACATTAAAATTTGATTACTTTTCGTTAAGCGCACAACAGGTCCTTTCGCCAGAAACGCCCTTAGATTGTATTAAAATTTTCGTTGCTATTGTTTACCTCTTTCGATAGCAGTTTCGTGCTTCTTTTTAAGCAATTCAAATTCAATTATTTTATACGCTATACTCAGTTCACAATCTTTCAATATTTCAAGACCCTCGAGGCTTTCGAACAGTCCCCTCAATTTCCATGTCAATTCAAACGCACTAATCAAAGTCAGTCAATCCCTTCCTGGCCTATAGTTGACGTTTCCTTCAACACCACTGCACTACATCTCGGCAAACATCAACTCCGGACATTCGAACAACGCGATCGACGTGTTCCGGTCCGCGTTTACCGGAAGCGAGGAGCCCGAGGAGACGTTGCAACCCTCGCGGAACTGGTGGCGACGACGCGTCGTCGTCAGCGCGAACGATCCGGCTCGTTGATCGCATGGTGATCACACTACGGTGTCGTCGACGGGACCCGACGCCCGGATTACTCCGGCGTAGACACCTCGAGATAGAGAACGTTGCCGTTCCACCCCCCTGAGAACGGCAGAAGGGCGGCGCGCGGACGACAATGTTGAACCCGGCACTACTACGCGACGTGTGTAACGTCGCCGCGAGGCTCGCGAGACGGACTACGGTACCGGAATGGAAAGCTCCGCAAGCTCTCGCGCAACGCGACGCCAGAGCCTCCATTCTCGTCTGCCGAGCGCGCCACGGTCGATTCCACGGATTACACTTCGGGACAGGATGCTGCGAAACGCGCCAGCCAGGCAGAGTTCCTCCGTGGACCCGGCGAGCGCAGTTGCACTCTGCCCAGGCTCGCTTAAGCTTGCCTTTCATCATGATATACCGATCAATTCAATGTTCTATGGTAATAGTAAGTCTTCCAGAAGCTCGAGGAATTTTAAGCTTTTGAAAAAAAAAATTATTCTTCCATCAACAGCACTCTAAAAGATTCGAACATATGTCAGGATTTGTAGTCATTGTTCAATTCATGTGATGTAATCAATTTTTGGATCTTTATTTCCCATGTATGAAAAGAGATTCAACTGATGAAAAAACCCCTTAAGGGGGTTCTAAACGTTCTTGAGAAGTCTGTTGTTTTTGTCCTGTTTTATCGGCAAAATGTGAGGTTAGATAAACTATAAAGAATTTATAATTCTGTAATCAAGATATATGAGACTATACAGATTAATAAATCTTTTTCCTGTACAAATTAATATTAACAAAGGGCGAAGCGCTCTAATTTCAGGTAAAAAACAATCCGTATAGCCAATAAATAGATTTATAGTTTATCTAACCTCATATTTCGTCGATAAAACAGGAAAAAACAATAGACTTCTCAAGGATATGTTTAGAATCCCTTTAAAACAAAAGAATTTTAATTTGTTTTTAACATAAAATTGGTAGGTCCTGTTTTGTTTCTATATGTACTTTAATCATGCAAAAGCATCGATAATTCTGTTCAACTAATAAGAAGAAAAGAGTGTGCAAAAATGATGATTTATCGATAAAATAGGATCTTCTTAAATTGCTTCAAACTCCTACAACAAAAATTTCTGCATTGCGAGGAAACGTGACAAATTACTAGTTGATTGCTCCAGATTAAAAGCGATTTGCAGTGGAGGCGCTCCGGATCTCGCAAAATCGCCGGGTCATCAAGCGTAACCCGGCCTCGCAAGCTGGAATGTCTGGAAAGCTCGAACATCGTCGAAACGCGCCGCGCAGACTCGTGGGGACGCGGGAAGAAAGGGATAGCCGGCTATCGATTCAGTTTTGCCAACAGATGGACCCTTTTGCTGGTGACTTTAGGATCGTCTAGGGACTTGTCAAGGAACGCTTCGTATCGCTCCTAACACGCGACGCGGGAACCTTGTATAGATCGATGTCCACTTGAAGGTCCGCGTGAACCCAAACGCGCCGAATAAACTCGCGTCGCTCAAGCAAGAGAGCTCGGAGAGCTTTCGAGCTTTGCGCCCGAGAACCGCTAATTGGCGTTGCTCGATTGCATCCCCGTCTGGTATTCCACGCCGTCTTCCGGCCGAGATCTTGAGACTAATTAATCTCACGCGTGACTAGCTCGTTCGAGTGGGAAGGCCTTCGCCATTTGTCAAGATTTTTACTGGAAATGTGTCATTGTTTTAATTAAAATTATTGCTTTATCTAGAAAAAAAATTCTAATTTTATAAAATTATTATTAGTTAAAACTCTAATACATTTCTCTTATATTAGATTTTTTTATACATTAAGAAGAAATAATTTAGTCGTCCTGTAAATATTTTTTAGATTATTCAAAGAACCCAATTTTTGAATGGATGCTCTTCTTAAAGTCTATACAAAATAATTTCTTTATAATAAATTTTTTTCCTTGGAATTTGCTTTATCTCTCTTATTCTGTCCTTTCAGCTCGAAGTTTCGGACATCCTAAGAGAGGCAATATTTTAGTTGCATTAGACGAAACGAGGAACGAGTAAATGCTCAGTGGTGAAAAAACACTTTTGTGACACGTGGAGGTTCAGTTGCACCTGCACTGGACAATGTTGTTCACGACCATTGACACTGTAATTTTTTGATGTCTGCAATGTTGTGGTTGATGCGTTGACACGCTTGTGCACGACTCGATATTCGTAACTTGACACTTTGGTGAGTGCGAAAATTCAACAATATCGAAAAACGAGAGAACGCGAAAGATCGTGTAAATAATAAAGTTTCGGGGAATTTGAAATTTTAGATCATGAAATTTATGAAATGTTGAGAGAAACGTTAAATCAATATAAATATTTAAAGCAGATTAATTGATGATAAAACAAGACTTCCGCGATATAATAATAATTATATATAATCGAAAATCTGTTCAATAATTTTTTATCCCAATATAATATTTAATAATTAAATAATCTAATGATAAGATGAAATCCATCGCTTTTTTTAATCTTTCGTAAAAGTATAATAATTTTAATACTAGAGCGAGATTTTCAGGAAGCAAATGATAATTTTTTGTTACATATTGTCGAGAGCTGCATAAATATTTTGAAAAAATCTGGAAGGAATTATGAAATTTAACGCGGAGCAGAATTTTTTTGTCTTTGAAATTAGAATCTCTTCACGTTTACTCTTCGTTATATTCGACGTGCAAAATGCAAAATGATGTAATTTTCACGTACATGCGGGATGTAGAGAGTATATTCTCTCCTTACTGGATTTAACACTTATATTAATCATGCTCAAAGTGCTACACGTTCAGCGTAATTCAACGGACCGAAACGGAGTAAACGGAGCAAGCTGAGAATGATATACTCGTGCTCCGCTGGTCCTTTTTCAGGCCTCTATTGTGATCTCGCCGTAGTCCAAAATTCGGCGAGATATATCAGCGAGGATTCCATCCTGCTCTCCGGCAGCATGCGGGACTTTTTCAACGTACGTGGGATTCAGTGAAAAAGTTTCCCGCCGGGAACTACTAATTTCGTTAACGGCCGGAGAGTCCTCGGGTTCTTTTGCGCGTGAATGAAATTTATTCCACGATAAGATCCGCGAAAGACTTTTAGATACCGTGTCGCCTCTGCCCACGTTTCAGAGAGACTCGCTCGTATAATATAAATTAATTACCCATCCGATCTGCATTTTTCAAATTTTTAAATCGAAGGAAAAATAAAATTCGGAAAGAGCGAAGGAATGAAAAAAAAAAAAAAAAAAAAATTAATTCCACAGAAATTATTTCGATTGTAATCTTTTCCAAGTTCCGACGTTGAAGAATTCGATTATCGCGAAACCGAGAGGACACTCGGAAGAGTCCGAAGGGATTTCAAAGGATTCAAGGATCTGGTGGGAAAAAAAGCCCTGAACTCTGAGGACCCAATCCATTTCGGACGCATTCAACCCGCTCTAATCCTCCCCGGAAGATGAATCGTCCTGCTGGGAGACAGGATGCAGACGTCGCTGATGTCGTCCAAGTGCACGAAAAGAAAACGCCTCGTGTCCTGTCTCGGACCTGCTCAAGCTCTTTGTCAAGCAGAGAAGAGCGGACGGCTCCTCTCACTCGGTTTCGGCCGCGAAAATGACGGAGGGAGAGACAAAATTGAATTCGCGGCGAAACGCGCGCCTTGAAGAGGTCGGTTAACCGGAAACCGTAGCCTCTCTCGGTCGATGCTCTTAATAAGAACATTCGCCAAGTGCCGCGAGAAACTCTCTCCGAAGCTCGCGTAATCGGATCGCAGTGAATAATGGGCGTCTGCGAAGCCTACTGTAAGCGATCCCTCAATAATATAAGGCGGTGTTCTCGGGTTTTGCAAAATGATATTAATAAGCTAAACTTCAAAAGATGTTCCGATCCAAAGTTCTCCGAAGACCGCAATCCTATTAATAGCATCTTAATTTGCGACTTACGAATTTATATATTTAACACTTTCATTAAGCCTTTCACAAAGCCTATTATCGTTAATTAATTTTTCAGCACTTTCATCTTCTCTTTATTCGATCTTTAATATAAGAGTCTTATAAAAAAGACGTTAGATCTTTTATTACAAAGATATATTTTATTTTTTAATTATTTATGTTACTTTTTATATTATTTGTATGTATGTAAAAATTAAAAAAAATTGTGAAGCTTTGTGACTAAAATATAAAATGGACTCTCCGAAACAGCTGATTTGGGGACTTATGTTGACTTTTTAACTTGTCTATAAGTAGCTGGATAAAATATCCAATCTTTTTTTTTTAATATCTCAATCTTTAATATAAGAGTCTTATAAAAAAGACGTTAGATCTTTTATTACGAAGATATATTTTATTTTTTAATTATTTATGTTACTTTTTATAATATTTGTATGTATGTAAAAATTTAAAAAAATTGTGAAGCTTTGTGACTAAAATATAAAATGGACTCTCCGAAACAGCTGATTTGGGGACTTATGTTGACTTTTTAGCTTGTCTATAAGTAGCTGGATAAAATATCCAATCTCTTTCTTTTAATATCTCTATATACATAAAATTATATGCATATTGATTGCGCATGCGTATATATCTGGAACGCACAGAATCTGTCACTCTCTTTTGAAGCATCAGAGAATGTCAGGTATATAGGGTGTGTCTAAATAAGTGCGAATAATTTTAGGAGATAATTCTTTGTCGCAAATTAAGGGGAGTTTTTTATATTAAGTATTTATTTATTTTCTCAAATTTCAGACGAATTAAAAAGATAAAAAGATAAACTTGATGAACATTTTTCTACTAATAAAAAGGATATTTATCAATATTTTTTTTAATGTAAAAACTAAATTTTTACCTTCCTTAGAGAAGTGTAACTTCTCAGGGAGGGATATAAGGTTATTAGTCCAGTAAAATTAGACTTGAAAAGGGCAAAACTTCAAAAAAATTATATTTGTGGAGACCTTTATTTCGATGTTCTAATGAAATTCTGAAAAGTACCCTTAATTTCAGCCAGGGCGTTTTTTATGGGGGTAAAAGGAGATAAATTTTAGTTTTTTGCCATTATCTCGAAAACTATCAATTTTTCCAGAAAAATAGTTATTATCAAAATTGTAGCTCATAAAATTCTCTACAAAAATAGGTACAATACTTTTTTCCGTACAACTAATCGTTTTTGAGTAAAACGTGCGGTACAGTTGCAATGT